AGCTACATATGACAGCAGCATACTAGTATGGAACATTTTCATCATGGCATAGGTTCTATTGGACAGCATTGGTCTAAAGATTAAGAGAGATTTAAGAGACTTAAACACCAAATGCAATGTGTGAAATTGTTTCAATTTTGATCAAACAAACAATAAAAAGATTCTTTTCTGAATTAATGGGGAAATTTAAATAAAGCCCAGGAATTAGAATATCAAGGAAGTATTATTAATAATGTCATCAATAGTATTAAGTTATATATGAAAATGTTCTTACTTTTAGAGATACATAAGGATAAAACGTTGCATTGTCTGGAATTTTAGAATGCTTCATAAAAAATGGATGAGATATAAAAAATAGATGGCAAAGTGTTAATAATTGCTAAATCTAATTCATAGAATATTTTCTAAACTTCTATATATGTTTGACATATATCATAATGAAATGTTAAACTCATAGCTTCTTGCAGTTCTAGTTTAATATATCACATGTATTTACACATATTTCTGTATAAGCATGTGCATGTATATGTACATGAAAAGCTGAACCGTAAGGCCCAGTATCTGGGCTTCGATCAGAGTAATTGGTTTGTGTGAAGTGTTACTGCCATAATAAAGCCAGCGATGATTAAAACCAAAGTGACAGAACCCAGAGTTGCACAATTATGTAGTCTTCAATAAACTGTTCTTATACCTAAGGAAAGTTATTTAGACAACCAGATGGATAGAAAATAGTTATGTAATACTGCACTATTACAAGTGGCAAATATTTTAGAAGTCTCAGAATTTTAAAATACTGTAGGAGTCATATTTAGTTGTTTTAATTAAAAAGCACTATGATAAAATATGTAGTTTGGCTAAAATCTCACTTAATATATGATTTATTGTAAGTATAAATAAAGTTTATAGAAGTTAAATGTATATAAAGTACTTTAAATCAAATAGCCACATCATTTAACAAAAGCACAATAGGTTCAATAATACCCTGCATGAGAGATCTGCCTAATTAGGTCAAATTATCAATGGATACATATGATAAAGCACTGTTTTAAACAAACAAAATTACCAAATTGCATAAAAACCTATATATTGTTGAGCTAGGATTATATGAAGTATAGGCAATATATGCTTAAATATTTAGAATTATTTGATGCATTCTTAATGTTCATCATAAGAGTTTGAAGCATTTTAGAAATCACATATTTCGCCGTAACCGGTTTGGCTCAGTGGATAGAGCGTCGGCCTGCGGACTGAAAGGTCTCAGGTTCGATTCTGGTCAAGGGCATGTACCTTGATTGCGGGCACACCTCCAGTAGGAGGTGTGCAGGAGACAGCTGATCGATGTTTCTCTCTCATCGATGTTTCTAACTCCCTATCTCTCTCCCTTCCTCTCTGTAAAAAATCAATAAAATATATATTTAAAAGAAAAGAAAAGAAAGAAATCACATATTTCTATGGTATCAGAAGCTAGATCTTCATGTCACAAAACAAAGGAGATACTTGGTGTGTACGATTCATTCATTTAATAAATATTTCTTAAGATGAATTGGTTACCCATTATAACAGGTTATTAAAGTAAATTTGAGCAGTGTACATCAGTAAACCATATAGTGCAGACAGAGAATTGACTCTAAAAATAACTTTCAGGTCTCAGTTACTCAGTTTAGTAGAATTGACAAATACCACCTTCACTGTTGGATGAACATAGCTGGCTTAAACTTAGTATATAGATGTCAGAATCGCTAGAGTTCCAGATAGGACTTGTTAACATGCTGGAAATACAGATTAATAAAACAGAGCTATTACTTAATTTTGAATTTCAAAGATAAGTAATGTCTTCTTGAAATAAAATATAAATATGTTGATAATAAAGTTCCATACTGATTTTTAAAAAATGCAGTAGCGTTAAAAACTTAAATACAGTTGACCTTTAACAACGTGAGGGTTAGCAACACTGACCCCTGCACAGTAGAAAATCAGTGTATAACTTTTGACTTCTCCAAAACTCAGTTGTCCTTTGGTACCCATGGGGAATTGGTTCCAGGACCCCCTCAGGTACCAAAATTCACAGATGCTCAAGTTCTTTATATAAAACTAGAGGCCCAGTGCACGAAGTTCATGCATGGGTGCGGTCCCTAGGCCTGGCCAGCGATCGAAGCGTGAGCATCTGGTGTGGAAGGGCAGGTCCCAGCTGACCTCTGGGCCCTGGGCAGCACCTGGGCCCCCAAGCCCTTGTGCACTCCCCTCCACCTGAATCATCGGGCCCCCACCCAGCTCCCTCAGCACCTGGGAGCCAGGCAGCACCCCCGCCCCCAGCTGGTCGCCATCTACAGGAGATCGGCAGGGCATTTGGGCCCCACTCAAACTCGACTTGGCCTGGCACCGCCTGCTCACTTGCTCCACCATCCTGTTGTGGGTCTACTCTCTTCGGGGCCCATCGGGGCCAGCAGTGCCTCCACTGCCACCCGCTGCCAGCACTGTGTTGCCAACACCCATCATGCTCCACGCTACCCCCTGGTGGTCAGCACACGTCATAGCAAGCGGTTGAACTTCCAGTAGAATTCCCGGTCAAGGGGACAATTTGCATATTAGGCTTTTATTATATAGGATAGTGTAGATCAGCCCTTTGCAATCATAAATTCAACCAATCACTGATTGAAAATACTGTTTTTGATCCAGGGTTGGTTGAATCTGTGGGTGTGAAACCTGAGGATACATAGGGCCTACTATTATATATTTATTGAAAAAAATCCGCATATAAATGGACCAGAGCAGTTCAAACCCATGTTGTTCAAGGGTCAATTGTACTGATAACTTGCCAATTTTAGATAATATATATTTTATATCAGTACCATGTTCAACCCAATGGTTTTGGCTAAATACTAATTGGTTATGCCACACACTTTTAGGATTTGATTTTAGAAAAATAACCAAGGGTTTTCACCTTAATCATAACTACTTAAGTGTATATTACATAGTTGCTCTTTGAAATTTAGAATGCCTTTTATATACTACTAAAAATGTGGGTTGAGTCCCACAAGCTAAATTACAAAATATATGCAAAACTTAATCTACCTTAATGTACGAATAGCACTTAGTCAAATTCTGTGCTGTGGAAACCAAGGGCCAAGTAATTTAGGAAGGGAAAGGGAAAGAAAAACAAGGAAGGCATCTTCCTTCTGGAGCCAAGATCAGCGCCAGGTGAAACTAAGAAGTACAGTGGGGCCTTGACTTATGAGTTTAATTCATTCCGAGACCGAGCTCGTTAAGGAGCTCGTTAGTTAACTCAAATTACTCTATCAACTCAATGCAAAAAATCAGCCGAGAGACAGCTGGTATCTCAAAAAACTTGTTAGTCGGGACACTCGTAAGTCAAGGCCCCACTGTAGCTACCTTTGCCTTGACACCCTTCTAAACCGCCTTCTGTGTCCCTCTTGTGCTTTGGTGGAGTTCGTTCCCTTTGTCATCTCCCAACTCTTTGTGATATTCTGAATCTTCTGCACATGGGGCCTACCCAGGAGACACTCCGGGTGCCCCACAAGCACCGACTCTGCCTACCCACACTTTGGTTAACAGCCACCTTTCACCAATGCCCGTTGGATCAGCTAGAGGCCACAGGAAAGCAATATGATCGAATGAAGCATCAAAATGTGCCTAGAGCCCTTCCAGCTGTATTACTTGCATTACATTATTTGTATCACTTGAAAAATAATGCTAAATATCACAAATCATTAAAAGGGGGAAATTTTAAGATACTCACAATTTGGAGAGAGAAGGCCTCCCCAAAGATGGGAAAGCCCTTTACAGAAAGGGCAAGCTCCCAAAGCACACATCCTATTCCAGTGCACTTAACTCACAGGATACCCTTGACTGTCCACTTCTAAACCCCAGTTATTTATATGCTCCAAGGCTTATGAAGTTCCCCTTCATGTAGCTCAGGGAAGTGGAGGGGGCGCTCTGCAGGTGGCTGGGCAAGGAGCTATTTAATGTTGGGAAATGCTTTAAATAATTTAGGGGAGTAAATTTGCATTCTCATTTACATCTGGTGCAGGGTTAATTTGGAATTTGTTGCATTTCATTAACACATACTGACTTCAGAGTTATAAGAGAAATTCTTTTGACATGAAAACCCAGCAGCAGATGGTCAACAACAGGTTAGCCCTATGATATTGACACTTGACTTTCTTATTCTCATAGTCATATATGTCGTAATTATTATTATTATTATTTTAGCTAGCTCATTTCAAACTTCATTTAAACTCTAAATAGCGGCTTGAGTTGATGGCTTAGTGATGAAGCATAAAAAATTTTTGGAACAAAAAGTAAACTATAGCAATGAACTTTATAGAATTTTTAAAAGCAGAAGGAGATATTGACACATGTGTAATATATGAACTTAGTCTCAGACACAGTAAGAAATGTTTCATCTCATCATGCATTGGGAACCTGCTCTAATAAAAATTTCCAGCATGTCTCATATGAGTGGCAGCAAGGAATTTTTAATTTTTTGAAAAAATATTTTTATTGATTTCAGAGAGGAAGGGAGAAGGAGAGAGAGATAGAAACATCAGTGATGAGAAAGAATCATTGACCAGCTGTCTCCTGCATGCCTCACACTGGGGATCAAGCCCACAACCCAGGCATGTGCCCTGACTGGGAATTGAACCCTGGCCTCCTGGTTCAAAGCTTGATGCTCAACCACTAAGCCACAACTGAGTTTTTATATCAAGAGTTGTTTAAAAGTACCACTCCTCTATGCCTAAAAACTCTTATCAAAGGATTATCGGTCGATGGACTGATTGATTGTCAAAGTGGACTTTACTTCAGTAGCTCACAGTGGTCCTGCTCACCCCACATGAAAGAGGAGTCCTGATTGGGGTTGAATGGTCCACCTCAATTGTTGCCAGTTGCACCCAGCCCTGGGCCGGGGGAGGGACAGGCTTTGCCCAGCCCTCACCCCTAGGGAATGACTTTTAAGATACCAATGTTGGAATGGTAATTACCTGCAAGGGACTTGCCAGGGACCTGTTTTTAGGTACTGTAAAAGCTTTGAGAACGTTGTCTTCATCTTCTGATACTGGCGTCATTAAAACGGAACTTGTAAGAATATTCTAAAGGGAAAGAGAATAATTTGAAATTCAAATGAAGTTGGATAATATGAAAGCCAACACAATTCTGACACTATAGTGAGTAGATTGCTATGAGGTGATACACATTAGTGGGGAAAATTCAGGTATCTGCCAGAAATTCTCTTCTCAATGAACTAAAAGGAAAACTCAACTATGTATTAACCCTAATCCCACTGTGGCCAACACCAATAAGAAAAAAAACTAGGCACTCTGCTAAATGAATTACTAAATACATCTTTAAAAATGAAAGTTTTACTAATCTCTAGTGAGAAAATTACTTATTTTATATATTGGCACAAAAATATTTCAGAGGTACAAATTAGTGGCAGTAAATATTAATGGTTAAAAGTATGTAATTTAAAACTAGACTTTCTGAGTTTTAACCCACTTATTAGCTATATGATCTTGAGCAAGTGACTATGCCTCCTGATGCCTCAGTTTCTCAACTGATATAATGGAAATAATGTTACCAACCTTGTAAGGATGTTGAGAGCATGAAATGAGTTAATGTATCTAAAGCTCTTAGAATAGTACTTAACACTTCGTACATATTGAAAAAATATTAGCAATTGTTACTAGCTTTGATTCACCATAAAGGACAATCATTTACAAATTAGAAACTTAAAAAAATAGTCATAACTGGTACTAAAAAAAAAGAAATGAGCCATCAAGGCATGGAAAGACTTGAAGGAAACAAAAGTACATATTATTAAGTGAAAGAAGCCAGTCTAAAAAAGCTACACAATGTATAATTCCAACTATATGACATTCTGGAAAAGGCAAAACCATGGAGACAGTAAAAAGATCGGTTGGTTGCCAAGGGCTGAGGGGGAAGAAGGGCTAATAGGTGGAGCATAAAGAATTTTTAGTGAAACTACTCTGTGTGATACTATAATAGTGGCTACATGCCATAAATTTATCTAAACCCATAAAATTTACAACACTAAGAGTGAGCCCTGATATAAACTATGGACTTCGGGTGATAACTGTAACAAATGTATCACCCTCGGGGGATGTTGATAATGAGGGAGACTGGGCATGTGTGGGACAGTGTGTATACGGGAAATCTCTGTACCTTCTGCTCAACTTTTCTGTGAGCCCAAAACTACTATAAACAATAAAATCTATTTTAAAAATGGTTGTAACCAAAGCAATCTATTATAGGGTACAATAAAGGGCATCCACTACAGACACTATAGCACTATGCCACATGCTACATAGAACCAACCAGGTGACAACTTAACAAGGAAATGCTACATTTAAAAGACAAATAAATGAAAAGAAAATTTAAAAATTAACATTCTGTTTTCATGGAAAATACATATGTTCATACAGGAGATTTTTTAAATGGCAAGGACTTTCAAATCCTAAGAAAACAAATAATGACAAAGTCTGCAATGGAATAGAACCTATTTCCAATACATAAACAAAACCTCAACTTTACATTCAACATTAATAACAGTAAGAAAATACTCATGCAAGAGAGTATTTCGATGATGCATTGAGGAGTGCCGAAACCACAGTAGCCCACGGGCCACACACAGAATCCTGTGTGCACCAACATCTCATCACATGGATGTGTACTTACTGGCATATCTGCCACAGGTGATGCCTGTGTGAACAGCTGAGTGTTCAGATTCTCGCCTTCCCAATGGTTCGAGCAGAAGAAGTTTCCTGCTTTATCAGTTGGAGATTCCACCTAAAAGCAAACAGGAAGTGCTTTGTTGTTTCAAGAACCAGAATTCCCCAGGAAACAGTTCTACTCAAGAGTAAATTTCTGTAAAATGAATAGGGTCTGAGAGGATCATGTATAGCATGGTAACTATAGTTGATGTCACTGTATTGTATCTTTCAGTGGTTCTCAACCTTCCTAATGCCGCGACCCTTTAAAACAGTTCCTCATGTTGTGGTGACCCCCAACCATAACATTATTTTCGTTGCTACTTCATAACTGTAATTTTGCTACTTTTATGAATCGTAATGTAAATATCTGATATGCTATATGTGTTTTTCGATGGTCGCGACCCACAGGTTGAGAACCGCTGGTATAATTGCAATCTGCTAAGAAAGTAGAGTTGAAATTTTCTCACCTATAAGGGCGAATATGTGAGGCGATGGATGTGTTAACTAACTCAGTGAGGAAGAATCCTTTCACAGTGTATACATATATCAAATCATCACGCTGTACACTTTAAACAATTTACAACTTTACTTGTCAATTACATCTCAATTAGGCTGAAAAAGAGTAAATGTCTAGCCAGTCTCCTAGTCACTATCCTTATATGAAAATACATTCAAGAGGCACTGTATCTAAGCTGTTAGAAACATTTCTTACTACCAAGCTCAAACTTTGATCCTTGCAATTTAGATTCCTTTTTTTATACCATGAATTAAAGATACTATTATTTTAATTTTCAATTCTCCATAACATCTAAAACTTAAATATATATATGTATCAATAATCTTTCCATCTATGTAGCCAGGGACAAAAGTAAGTAAAAAGCTCCTTCCTTCTCATTCCTTTATCCTCTCCAGCATGTTTTCTGTTCAAACATGAAGTAGATAGAGGTGGCTTGGCTTCCCAAATGACAGGCCACATGCCTGCAGTCTGACAGCAGCTCTGAACTGCCTCTGGCATGAAAATCTTGTAGGAAAAGTGGTATTGTTCCACAGTGATGATGCAGACTCGTCAATAAGGAACAGAGGGAACAGCATTCACAGCCTATTCCTTTCAAAGGATTGCGAATTTACCTCTTGTTTGATCTTCTTCAGTAAAGGTCCATTTCCTTGAAACTCGGTAACAATTTCAGATTCATCAGATTCCTGTTTGATCACATCCTGCAGGTCTTCTACGAGATGAGATGGTGTCTGAGGCTGAAGGGAAGAGTGGGCATGCCGTTTGCATCAGAGGAAAATTTCTGTCTGAACTAACAAACCAGCTAACCCAAGAATTTTACGAACACTTACTAGCATCTTCAGGGGGCCATATTTTATTTCTTGAGCTGCAAGTGCATGTTTAAATGGTGTAGGGGTTCTCGGAGAGCTTTCTAGGATTGACTTTTTGATAGCTGGAGTTCTGAAACTTTAGAAAGAAAACAAGTGTTGGCTCAATACACAAGAACATATGTCCCTCACACTGCTCTCCCTATTACATTTAATATTTTTCTACTGAATAAAAGACTTTGTTATTGATATGGAATTGGGTATGCTGATTAATCACACATGTATTGTTAACAAAAAGATATTAGGTACATCAATCGCTCTGAAAACACATGTACTGCCTGCCCCTGGGTTTCTATAATGATCATAAGCATTGTGAAGGTCTGATGTAATTTACAAATACATTTCACCTATTATTAAAACAGGGTCCACAGTAGAAAACATGTTAATATTTTAAACTACTTATTGTACTTGGAAATAATAAGATTAAAGGTTGATTATAACTCATATTGATGTTCTCTGCCATTTCTTTGAATTGGTTAAGCCTTTATTGAATATAAATGACTGCTTAATCATTCCTATGATATCCTATAATATTACTGGGGGTGTCAGAAGCAGTCCTAATCTATATAAATTTCAAAAGAAAAAAAATAAGATTAAAAAATATGAACTAAAGAGAACTATTCTCATTCTTGTTCTGAAGTGTATAATCAAAGAGAAATGGAGGCTAAAAATCTTATTTTCAGTGAAGAAGAAAAGGCCTATTGAACAAACAGAAAAACTTGAATGGAAAAGTTATATAAAAACTACCTCTGCAAATATGGGAAAATTTGAGGTAAACTACAAAAATTAATTTAGTTTATCCTCCCACCATCTACGTCTGGATAGTTAGAATAGGCCCAGGACACATATTCAATGTGGAATATACATGATGAAATACATACAAGTGGATCCATAACATTATATACATTCAAATGGATCACAGTGTTGATGCCAGACACTGGGGACTATATTGAGACATTGGAGACTATATTCTCTTAAATAACTATAAGTAAATAAGATCAATAATTTCATTCTTGAACCAAGAACTTACATAGTATTTTCCTTTTGAGCTTTCACAGTCTGGTCTCTATGAAATGGTGTTGTAACAGTCAATTTGTGACCACTGAGAGGGGTGGCAGTTAAAGAAGGCATTTCCAAGTCTAAGTTTTCATGATTACTGGAAGTGTTTAAGAACTAAATATGGGAAGAAAAAAATTACTTAGATCAAGCAGTCATTCTTCATTGAGCCAAGTTTAAAAATTACACTGTGAAAACAAGCAAATATGTTTTACTGACCCACCATATAAAATAATAAAGATGCTCACAACATGTAGTGTTGGACAAGGGTATCCTTTTTATGTTAATTGAACACCAAGATTTGGAGTCTGATTTCAAAAAAAAAACAAAAACAACAACCAAAAATCTAGGGTCAATGCTGGAAAAATTGCAAAATCCTAAGAAAATATTCTCAATAAATGACATTTGCCATTAAAGAAATAAGATGCGCTCTTCATGAAGATTAAAAGTGTTCCAGTGATTTGGGGGAAATAATGATTATTTTTCTTTTATACTCTGTTGTCTCTCTTTAATGATCGTTGAGCCATTATATTATAGAAGGCTTACATTAGGTGGAACATTTTTTAATAATAAGCTATTTCTCTCAGAACATTAATGTTCTAGGAAAATAATAGGTGTTCCTCAAACAGTTCCAAGGTAAAATAAATTTGGGAAACACATGTCATAATCTCCTCCTGGACATTCACAATGCACATCAGTGAACTAAAATCAATCTTTAACTTAGTTTGAGTCAGTGTTTCCCAAACTTATATACTTTATATGTGGATGGAACATCTATCAAAATCTTTCAGGATGAATATTATCTAGAACACAATTTGGAAAATACAAGCAAAAAGCAGGATAAATTGTTTTGGTGAGTGCATCACATTTGTTCATACTTAGTGCTGTTCTTAACACTCAACAGACATAACTGGAAAAACGTTTTAAAGGGCCAAATTACCTATTAATTTCAATTATTTTAATAATTAAGAAACACCCAAGTTTTTAAAGGAATTATAATTTCCATGCCTTTAAAAAATACTGTATGAAACAAGAATATTCATTGGCAATAAACTATGCTAATAAAATCTTATGGCACAACTCAATATGCCATAATTGAGAAATTGAAATTAAAACATAAATTGTTTTCCTTAAGCATTTGTCCCTCATGCTCTTCCCAAACTTCTCCACTTAAAGATGGAACGGAACCTTTAAAATTTCTAGTTGCAACCCAAACATAGTTTGCTTCCCTCCGCCCCTGGGTCAGTGAATCATGTAAGTGAACAAAGAGGCAGAAAAACCTGTGAAAATTTTTAAAGGGAGTGAGGGAAGGGAGAAGAGAAAGGGATAGAAATGTTAAACTCTAGTAGTGGAGGAAATAACAGCACATCTCATGCAACTAACCATCTTTCAAATCACCCGAAAGAGAGAATTATGACAAAATCATCAGTCAACGTACAGACAGCCTAAACTTTGGGAGGCAGTATAACTTAGCAACAGCTAGATTCAACAACGCAACAAAATCAGTGAGGGTAAGAATAATTAGTCATTTGTCTCTAGGATTAGTTTCTAGATTATTAAGGCTTGATTGTCTGTTGAAAATTAGTAACAGCTGCGCAGAAACTGTGCTCTACCTGAGAGGGGGAGAAGGACAGGCTTTTGACAGGGGACCGATTGGGAGGTGAACTGCTGACGTCAGCAAATATGAAGGACCTAGGGTCTCCCGCGGCTAAGGGGCTGGCCTGGCGCCGCTTTGTTCGAAGGATGACCAGTGGAATGGCGCTGTGCCTCGCAGGAGGTACGGGCTTGAGCGGGCCAAGTGAACCCTCGCTCAACGTGCGTTTGCTAGGCTCTCTGGCGGGTCTATTCACATTGCCCTCTCTTTGCTGGAGCCGTAGGGCTTTGCCTGCATGCTGTTGGCTAGGTGAAAATTCTGCTTCTCCAAAGAGTTCAAAATTGCTGAGGTCACACCATGATGAAGAATCCTGAAAGAATGTGGGAGGCGCAGAACTCTGAGACATGTGTGCATGATATGTGCCATCACCTGAAACGGCACTGAGAAAGAGATGCTGAATGCAGAGAAAACACCTGCCGGGCCCCCTTCTTTACCGTCTTCAGGGTTAACAATTGTTCTGATACCGGGCTGGTCCTACAGGAGCGGTGCAGGGGCCTCTGGGTACTCTAGCATTTGCATGCAGTCCAAAGCAAAAGGAAACCCTTTCCTAGATGGCACACTTGGCAATGGTTATCCCCTGCCTGAGGGGGACTGATTGGAAGCTGAACTGCAATAAAGGCTTTTTAACCACCGGGAGACAGTGGAAATGAGTGGAGTGTTTGCTCTTGAGGGGCTGAACCCGAGTCTGTTTCACGGAAGGTGGTTTGTCTCAGTGAACCGTATGAGACTGGTAATAGATAACCAATGCTTTGTGGAGAAAGCCATGCACCACCAATGAACCTATTACCACTTCAAATATATTGAAAGATTGCTTTAAGCTCTGAGCAAACATAATTCTGAATGTGCTGTCCAAAAGCAAGGCACAATTCTAGAGAAACACAAAGAAGGAAACAAATTAAAAAAATAAAAGATAACTCAAACATCATTCCCATAACCCACGCTCTACTTTTAGGTCACTAACTTCGCTATTTTAAAAAAATATGCATTTTGAAGGAAATGTGTGAAAAGCTACCTTTTATCTGGGTAGCCTATGAAATCAGATCTTTGAAAAAAAACATACACAGAAAAACTAAAATAATATTTTTACCTTATATGTTAATTACATGACAGTTGGCTCTAGAAAATGGCAATGCTTTGAGAAACGGGTTTCCTCACTCCCCTTCTAGCAACATTAACATGCCTGAATAATCTACTTACAGAATCTATAAATTGAAGTGTTTCTGCAAATTCTAAGAGGTTCTTAACATTATCCAGAATGGCTCCTTGGTGGACGATCATGCACCTCGCAGGAGAGGCGCTTTCTTCAGGTAAGCAGCCGGGATCCACAGGCAGAGATGGCGTGGAGTGGTGCTCTTCCAAACAGGAAACAGGTGCACTGTCTCCGTGAGGTCTGGTGTGGTCGGCGATGGTGGTGCTGTGCCACCCGGGGTAGCTGCATGTGTGGTTCTGTGTCTAAGGAGGTGAGGGGGGGGAGGATAAAGAAAGAGCGGGGAGAAGAAAGGGAGAAGGAACTTAGCAATGAAGTTGCACAAGGTATCAGATGCTGTTGGAGGAAAGATAAAAGTAGTTGCATCATTCAGAACTTGCGCCTATGAAACAGTTGTCAAGATGTTTCCTTTTATTAATGCAAGACCCTGCTTTTTAATAGTGGTATAGTCTGTCATCTACAGGGTGACCTTAATTGCCCATCCTTTCGTTAAAAATGCAAACAGGGGGACCATGTGACAAAGCCCGACTCTCACATGGAGTTAAAAATCTATTAACATAATTTCCAATAGGACCATAAATGTTTGCTGTGAATTAAGAATTCTCCTATTCTTTCTAACCTACATATAGGCTGGAGAATGCAAGAGTTAGAGTTGCCTTTCTCTGAATATATTCTTGTTGCTTCTATCCCCTTCTACTGCAAAGGATTGCACCGGTGCAGAGAAGGAGTGCCAAATCGACGTGGTTAGGAAAGCAGAAGAGCAAATTAACAGAAGTCTCCTTTCAGCATGACCACGAAACAGGAGAAATTGCAAAACATTCAAGTTAAAAAGTGGGTGAACTAACATAAGCACATAATAATGGTATTATTTAACCAAAAAAGTTTTTACTCCTAGGAATACCTACTCTGTATCACATCTCTTTTATTTACTTGGTTGGTTAACTACATATGTTACAAATTACAAGCTTCTTTCCCAGTTTGCTGCTCAATCACTAAAAAAGATGTCAACATTCAATAATGGTTCACATAGCTTTCACATATGCAAACAAAAGAGAGCAGCTAATGTTATTCATGGAGAGAGTATATGCATCTTTTTCACATGTATACACTGAACATGCACCAAATCACGTATAAAATAATAAAGTATGAAAATCTAGGTTAAGAAACATAATAAAGAAAAAATGAAATGAACAGGCATCATACAGATGCAAAGTTTTGTGAAAAATAGTTTCATTCATTTTTAACTTTGATAGTCTTCGAATTGATTCCAGTCCTTCTAAAAAAAAAATCAATGATGACAATCACTAAAAAAAAATCAATGATGACAATCACTAATAGATGTTGAGTGTCTATTGCAACATAAAAGGACCACTTCCAATTTAGTCAACATTCTTATACCAACTGGGTTTTATTACACAAAACTCATGTTTAAATGTCACTAATGGATATATAGAGTATTGACTATGTAATATTTAGAAGATAAGAAAAAAGATACAGAGGAGCACTAGGGTAAAGCCACACTCCTCCCATTTCGGCCCACGGTGACATTCTTACTGGTAGCGCCTGCTGTCCTTTGAGCTCATTCTCAGTAGACATTAGGAGCAACTCTAATTCCTTTATTCGTTTTTCTTTCTCAGGGTCTTCATCATTATAGTGTCTCTGAAATTAAAAGTTAAGAGAGAAAAAAAGAAAAGGGCCTGAATGGAAGCTGTAAACACAATGGTTGTGGCCTTTAGTCAAGAGGGAACACACAGCCCAAAGAGCCTGGGCATGAAACCCAACTGAATTGGGCCACGGTTGAAATCTTTGTGAATGTCATTCTGGATGTAAGAGAGTGATGGGACATCTGAGGCTAAAGTGGAGGCTGACTGATGAGTTGTTTATAATATGAGAGAATCTGAGAATCCCTGAGCAAACTCACTCTCGAAGTGAAGACTGGCAGATGGCTGGCTGGAGTTCCCCCACCTTTCCACTTGTCCCTGCTTTTTTTATTTCAGTTGGTCAGGTGACAATATGTGTTTAGAAGAAAGAAATAAAGCATGTCTCAAAAATGGTGCCTTAAACAGCTAGTGAGTTTCTTTAGGAAATGACCTTACAATGGTCTTACCTGAATGGCTGCTGCAGCAGGCTGTGGAACATTGACTATATTGACATGTAATGCGACAGGATATGGGACATGACTGGAGACCTAGACACAAAAAAAAAGGCAAAACAAAGGACGAATCATTCATGGTTACATATGCTTCAGGGCACTTGGCTTGCTCGAGGACTGAGAAAAAGAATACTTCACTGATCAAATTCACTAAACATTAAACATACACACTCACACACACACACACACACACTCCTCTAATTTGAAAATTTAGCCAGGCTTTTAATAATGGCTAAATAGCTAAAGCAACATAGTGAAAAAAAAAAATTTAAAGTGCTCATCATCGATCCTGACAGGAAGTATTCCTTAGAGAAAAATACATCTAAAATACATTCATAAATGGATGAAAGGAGTTTTGGTGGGAAAAACTGATGGCACTAGCTGTTTATAAATAAAAATATTTCTCTGGGGATAATATGAGTTTTAGTAAATAGCACAGAACTGCTTAAGATAGTTCGTTCACCTGAGACCTTTCTGGAAAGTCTGTAGTCAAATATATGTCAAAACTCTTCACAAATATGCTTTGTGTAGAATTTGCATATGAGCTCTGTATTCTTGGGTAAATTTCACTGTTTCTTATTGTTAATATAAAGATTAAAACTTCTTGCTTTTTTTCCTCTTTATTCTTCTCTTTCCACTCACTAAGAATATTTTTTTCCCTAAGTATAAATATCAGGAAATGAAAAAGGAGTCACACTAATCCAAGAAGAATAAAAGGAGACACCAAAGAATAGTGTCACAAAACTGCTCTTGAGCCCTGGCTGGGTAGAACATTGTCCCCATATGCCAAGGTTGCTGGTTTGATCCCCAGTCAGGGCACATACAAGAATTAACCAATGACTGCATAAGTCAGTGGAAAACAAATCAATGTTTTTTTTCTCTCTTTCTCCCTTTCTTTCTCTAAAATCACTAAATAAAAAACAAAAATTAAAAAACAACAACACTGCTCCTGTCCTAGAGTATGAAGGTAAACACAGAATAAATAAATTAGGGCATTTCTGCTCCATCACTACCAGAATGGAACTTACAATTATCTGTTGAATTTCAATGTTGAACTATCTGCTCTTTAAATGTAATATTATGTTCACTTTCATTTTGGAAGACAAAAATATTTGACTACAACTGCATCCCTATTTCCCCAGTCTTCTTCAGCAGGACCTTGTTAAGTAAGGTTACATTCAAACTCTAAACTCCAAAATTAGATTAAAAGCAGCATCAGAATCTAACAACTTGGCTTGCAGCCTACACTGTCTCTAAGAGTTGTGTAACCGTGGACAAATCATTTAATGCCCTTGTTTCCAGAACCATATCAGGAAGAACAATACCTATGCCATGATCCTGTTTATGAAAGCTCTCTGAAAAGTATGCAACTACAGGGTATTATTACCTGGAGCTAAAATAACCACCTCTCTTGTTAAACAAAATTCTCAGGAATGGCTTACATTTTGTGCTTCAGAAATGTGGTAATAGGAATAGTCGTTGTTCACTGAGGGCTGTCCAGTTGGAGGGAGGTGAGCTGACGGCGGAGCATGAGCAAAGCCCATTAAATGACTGTTCTTCTGGAAACTTGCGGCCACCGTTGGCTGGCTAGCTTTGGAAGACTCCTGTAGATAACCTTCCTGCTCCACCTTCCGACGCATTGTAGAATTCCAGTGGTTCTTGATAGCATTATCAGTTCTGCACAGAAATATATCACATACAAATTTCACAAACAAAAACTTCAATTCAGATTAGAGTTAATTGACAGAAAACTGTCCCTAACAGAGACCTTTTCTTTTGGTCCACTAATAGTGTCATTTCTTTTTAATCATTTCAATCTTTTCTACCTCCTAAAATCATGCTTTCCCTATTACCTAATTTAAATTCCATGCATTTCTCTTAATTACATAATATGGAGTTGTAGTTTTCTATAAATATTGAAATCCTTAAACCATTTTGTTTCCTTGATAAGAGTATTTTCAATACAACTACCCTTCATATTTATTTTGACTGGTATAAGACGTAATACAACTGTCCTAGAAAATTACTCCTTTGATTTGGCTTAGTGGAGGCTACACGGACATCACAACAGGTCCTCAGTAAAGTTGGGTGAATGATAATGATGCTGCTGCCACCTCATTGTCCTCTCTTTATCGACAACAGCATCAGCCAGACATTTTGAGTGAAAAAAAACCAACTCCCATCTTTTGAAAACCATTTCAAATTGTTCTGGTAACCAGACAGAGGTGAGAATGGAAAACAGGATCCAGATAGGAGAAATGCTAACTCCCGATGTATTTTCAAACTGCAAAGCATTTTTACTGAAGTGTTTCAATTCTTAGGAAAACAGTTTCTCAATTTTAAAAAACCGTTTTAAGCCTCCCTTTTACTATTTTGATGGGGGTGGGGAATGTATGCTAAAGAAAGAGGAAGTTCAATCGCCCCTTAAATTTTTAGAAGAATCAACAGCATATCCTCTCAGACCATATGGGAGAAAAGGCGTCCTATTATCTACCTCCTGAATTCTCTAAGCTCACACTGAATCACAAGGGAGGAAATGCTTTGGAACATCACAAGAGAACACCAGATAAACCATCAGAGCCATGGCCTTCCTTTAAATGACCCTTCTTCCACTTTTGGATTATATAGCTCAAGAACAAAAATATTTAAAATATTTTGTTTTAGATATTTTTATGTAAGCTTCCCCCACCCCACCAAAAAAATCTGTTATAACTGCTTAAATAGGGAAAGGGGCAAAAATGAGCTTCCATACATTTCCCTCATAATGAGGTCATTTTTGTGCCTCTTTCATTAGAAAGAAAGGATAACACTGACATTATTTAAAAACCTGGAAGCAGTATGATAATTCTATAATTATACTATCTCTTTCTTTAAAAGAGGAAAATTAAGCCAAATGGTGTAATGAAATGCTGGTATCAGGAAAATGATAGCGAGGTCCTTCTGGTCACTTAACCAGCTATGTGAACTTAGAGCAGAGACAAACTGTCTAGCTCAGTTTCCTTCTGTACGTTTAGAGTTTTGTAGTTTACAATGTGCTTTGACATGTATTTTACTTGACACTAACACTTGCCCTGTGAAGTAAAAATGGGGAAAGTGAAGCTGAGGAATGTTCAATGACTTGGCTCAAGGCTCACTGTTGGGTGGATTCTGGAAGTACTCAACCAGATAAACTCCAAGATCTCCTCCAGTTCTAAAAGCTATGGATCTGGTCTAATGAATGAAACACAATCGATGGAATGTAATTCACTCACCATACAGTTAAAACAGACTGTTCAATACCCACTCCCTCATTCCTCCCAATCAATATATTTTTTGACATATGATTACCGTCCAGGCAGTAGTTTTGCGATTTCTGCCCATCTGTTCCCCAGCCTCTTGTGTGCCTGGTAAATAATTCTGTCTTCCTCTTCTGTCCAGGAGGTTTTCTTAACTTCTGGATTCAAGTGGTTATGCCACCTCTCCCTACATTGCTTTCCAATTCTCCCCTTTAAGTGCTTGGCAATAACAGACCAACGTTTCGGACCGTATTTCTGTACAAGCTCTATCACCTTCAGATAAACACACAAAAATAACCTATGTTTTAATGTTATGTAATGAGTCAGTGTAATCATTCTGTTACAAGATCTTTAGAAAATTTCTAAAAACCTGCTTTCATTCATTTAAAATATGGAAAAAGAATTCTTTTGGTTCTTGTTTGTACACCTTACCTGTTTCTTAAGTTGGGAAACATTCAAGGAAGTAGTTTGGGGAATATTCTTAATTATGATTCATACAACAATGAAGAAGGAACTTACTCTCTGATCTTCTTCTTTGGTCCAGGGACCCTTGATGAGCTCAGGGTTTAGTACTTTCTGCCATCGGTGCTGGCACTGCACATCTGTTCGATTCTAGACAAATAAGATAAAGTAGGCATTGTCATATAGATATGACGTGATAAGTGCACACTAAGATTTTGTTAGAATATGAATCATACATAGATAGCATACAGTGACAATGATCAAGAACATTCTAGGGCATGTTTGGAGAGCCCACCCATCCCTCATTACTTACAGCTAAAGAACATACAAAGAATATAACAAAGTTGCATCTAAAATTAGTTCTTCCTCCTGAGGGCAACAGTCCTGCCATGTGAACAAAAGGACCATCATATTGCATGAATGGCTGAGAATTTAACTTAACCTTAACCTCAGTCTGTTGCATGTGAAAGTACCTAGGACTAAGACTAAGCCTGTTAGGGATTCCATATTAAGGTCAAGCTTTTATGGAAGCCCACTCTAGTGACTCCCATTCAAACTAAGAGATGTGCTTCAATTTAGGGCCACCAGTGTTAATATTCAGAACAAAGATGAATAAACATAGGCCCTACCTTATACGAGCCTGTAATTTTATAAGGAGGAAAAGACAAATACATAATGAATAGAAGGCAGAATTTGATTCATACGTGAGAAGAAATAAAAGCAAAATGATATTGGGGTGGGAAAAGAAACCTCTTTAGGAGAAATGATGTTTCCTTAGGAGGAGTCTGGAAAAGCTCTTGTTATGGACTTTGAAGGACATGAAGTAACTATGCAAGACATTCTAGGAGGTGGCATCACCAGAGGAGGGACAGCAGACATAAATTCAACTAAACCTGCTTACAGAGGGGAAGTCAGAAACAGAACTGGAGCTGTATGTTGGGGCCATATGGGAGGACCCTGTGTGCCAGGTCCAGGCAGTGCACTTAATTTGTGAAACTAGGTTACTGTTGTTGGTTTTGAAAAGATAAAGTACAGCTGCATTTTAGGAAGCTCCCTCTGCTAAAGGATAAAAAAGTGGAAAGCTATAAGTAGAGAAACCAGTTAGGAAGTCACTGTAATCATCCAGAGAAGAGGGAAGGGAGAATAGTGAGGAGAATTAAAAGACCAATGACAAAGGAATTCCAGAACCCTTAGTCACTACTTAGGTGTAGGCGATGGGGGGGGGGGGGGGGGAACAAGTCTAGAAGGACTCAGAAATTTTCAACTGGGGTACCAAAACATGGTTTTTTTTTAAAAAGGAAATTTAAAAGAAGCTGGCTTGGGGGAAATATCACAAGGTTAGTCATCTATCATATAACAAATCACCAGAGTGCTAATTTATAGTATCCTATAAATGAAAAGATATTTATATGATCCAACAAATGAAAGGGTAAAATAAGAAGAAAACATTGGAAAATGTTGTATGTCCTTTAATAATAGATTCAGAAACCCCAATTATATGTATTATAATATACACTACAGGTTATGGATGAGGCATTTCTCCCCCAATTTCTCATATATAGCAAATAAGCAATGTCTTCACATACTCTCCCAAAATATCTTACTTAAATCTTTGGGAGATTTCCTTTTACATGAAGAAAAAATTACTAACTTACCGGGAGATAATTGGCTATAACTTTCCAGTCATCTGTTCCATTCTGTTCCACCAACTTCTTTAGTTTTTCATCCTAAGACAGTTAAAGGTAATCCAAGGACATCAGTCATTTACTGTACAACTCTATTCAAGTTAGAGTAGAGGGGAATCAATTCAATAACCTAATTCACAAAATATCTCTCAAAAATATCCAAATACAACAGATAATTAATGTGACATACTGATTTTGAGTATAGATTTATTTAGAGTCAGACAGACCAAAGACTGAACCTTGACTAAGCTATTGATTAGTTGTATAAGCTTGATTATATCATTTTGCTTTTCTGGACCTTAGTATTGTCATCTATATAATGGGAGTGCTGATGTCAAAAGGGTTATTTGGGGATCACATGAAGTAACTATGCAAAACATTTAGCATAATGCCTGGCTCACTGAATGTTTAATACATGGTAACTATTAAAAGTTTTACTCTGTGGGGGAAAAAAAGACCTCCAATGTTAGATTCAAGATATTTAACTAGACATGGCAATAGATAGGATCTCGAGTAAGAAATAGCGCAACCACCATTCTAACATTTAGTTATTTTAACCTCTTACAAATAAAAAAAAATGGAAGATCACTTTTCTTAATTAAACTTAAAGGTATGTATGATGTAATAAAGTCATTTAGTTTTTGTATAAAGATATGCATAATTTAAACTTATTAGAATACAGAACTTAATAGAACAAACTTGTTAGAACACAAAAGACACCAAACATCAGGGGAAAATCTTTCAGTTCACTCTTTCTAAACATGATCTACCAAGTGAAAGAGAACCCTCACATTTTTGCACAGCTAACTTCACACGCAATGTGGATCCCTGGTATGACACAGACATGGGAATTAGGAAACCAGTGTTAACAAGAGAACTTCGCTATGTGGAAGAATCATCTAAGACTTAGATTCTAAATCAAAATCTCCATAGGTAAATTATGTATTTCCTATGGACCTTACTGGAAATCCTGCCTGCCTAACAAGAGGAGCTCTGGCTTATGTGAAGTAGGGTGGACCGAAACTGCAGAAGAACCAATACCATTAATTCTAACATAAAATCTTTAAAAAATCAATTGCAAAATTTTTGAAACTTCAAAGAAAAAGCAACTTTTCCTATACATTCATACTTTTTCTCCTTAAATATTTTTTCATTCCTACAAAGATCAAGCTTTCAATAAGCTATCAGAAAAAGGTAAGCAGATATATCTCCTTCCATTTTTGATTGCTTTTAAAAAATCTTTATTGTTGAAAATATTGCAGATGTCCCTTTTCTCTTCTCCAGCTCCGTTGACCCCCCTCCACTCCGCTCCTAGCCCTTCCTCAGGCCTTCCCTGCACTATTGTTTGTCCATGGGCGATGTATATATGCATATAATTATTTGGTTAATCTCTATCCGCCCACTCCTCCTGAAATAAGTCAATGTTTCAATGTCTCTGGATCTGTTTTGTTCATTAATTCATTTTCATCATTAGATTCCACATATAAGTGAGATCAAGTGATACTTGTCTTTCTCTGACTGGCTTATTATGCTTAGCATAATACTCTCCAGGTCCCTCCATGCTGTCTCAAAGGGTAAGAGATCCTTCTTTTTTATAGCTGCATAGTATTCCATTGGGTAAATGTACCACAGTTTTTTTTAATCTATTCATCTACTGATGGGCATTTGAGCTATTTCCAAATCTTAGCTATTGTAAGTAACACTGCTATGAACATAGGGGTGTACATATTCTTTCTGCTATGAACACACGGGTGCATATATTCCTTCAGGCTTCTTAGGATATATTCCTAGCAGTGGGATCACTGGGTCAAATGGTTGTTTATTTTGCTTTTTGAACAGATCTCCATGTATATGGCTCTGTGAAATACTATAGATTATATTTTAAGAATGTTAAATGAATCCATTAAAACAAGTTCTATGAATGTTCTTTTTACTCTTTTGTTTGTTTTGTTTTTGGAAATAGCAATTCATCTATTTGTTCAGGGAACATTTGTTAATAGTCCACTTTGTGTTAAGCAATTCTGGATTCAAGGACCACAAAAATGAACAGATATGTAGCCCTGCCCTCAGTAGACTTGTCGCCTCCTGTAAGAGGCATATATATTACAGCAATAATAAGAACATGTGTCCAATGATTGCAGGATGCATCCCAGGAAAGTGAAGGATGGCTTCACAGAAGAGGTGATATCTCCACAGGTAATAAAGAAGTAGTAAGAAGTCGTGGAGCAAAAGGATAAGAACAGGATAGGCAGCAGGAAGCATAGATGAAACAAATTAAGAGGAGAGGACATTCAAAGAACTACAAAAGGGTTGGATATTGAAGGTATAGTGCACATATGGGGAGTGGTGAGAGGTAAGTATGAGTATGCTGCACAGGTAGGCTAGGATATGATTTCAAAGATCCTGACAATGAGTATGAGCACCTGTAGTTTAGCTGAAATTTTGTTTTTCATAAACGGATACATTCTACATTCTATTCCCCATGTTTTAATGACATGATTAGTTACCTCTTCCCTGGTCCACCTAGTTTTCCCCAAGTGACGCTTTCCAGACTTGGGAAGCAGCCCATCATAGTCATGGTCACACATCTCAATGTCTTCATCATCCTCATCGCTACTGTATATGCTGCAAAAATAAAAAATGGGCAGATATAGACTGAAACAAGAAGGTTTAAACTACTGGATTACAAAAATTCCACAAAAACTCAACAATCATTTCAAAGGTTAAGATGATAAAACTTTGAAAACTTGCACAAGATTGTTTTCTGCATTCTGTGGCTCTAGTATTGGAAACTGGTTCTGCTGTTATCGGTCTCCACAGATACAGCAAAGGACCTGGCACTTTCTTATTGCTCTGCATGTTTAAACCTGCTGTTACTGTTAGACCAGTGACAAGTTACACACTTGGCAGGCAACCTTCCAACCAATGAAGGTTTAAGTTTAAAACTTAATATTAAGGACAATAAAAGGCCTGAGAGCCCATGTCCTTTACGTAATTATACACTCAAGATCTTTGGCATACATCACAATATTTAAATAATATTTCCCAAGTACAATAAATAACTCAGTTATGTTGTTCCAATGGGACTGGTGTTTTATTAAGAGAAAAACATTCAGGAAGTAATATACCTAACAATATAATTATAGTCATTCCTTCAAGATTAGAAGACTAAGAGAATCTAAGAGGAAAGGATTCTAAAAACCTGAGGAAGAATAAAACATTCAAGTGATCTACTTTGTAAATAACATTAATACCAAACACTTCAAAACTCTAGGCCAGTTGATCCAACTTGTGGCCAGATTTACAATACTCAGTTTCCAGAGTGACTAAGTGTATAATTACACCACCTGATAGTCAGACTCTTACTTACTCTTTTTTTCAAAAATCTCTGACTGAATGGTATTTGAAATATCTTAAAATGTACCTAATTCAAAACTAAGGAATTCCCCCAGATGGGCTTAAAAAGAACCCACTACTGTTTTTAAAGGAGCCTTTTCTTTTACCTCATTGACCCAAACTATGAATTTTGATGACTTTTGAAGTTACTCTATACTTAATGTTTATTAATCATATTCTGAATAGATGAGAGTAATTTTGCAGTCACAGATTACTTTTACTTATAATTTTACTTATCAAATTAAGATATGAAGAAAAATTGTACTAACTGAAAAACTTCAATAAAATTTATTCTTGTAATACTGAGACTAATAAAATAATGATATAAAGCAATATCATAATGTAACTGATTCTTTTTAATAAGAAAGTTTATATTCATATTAGGTATGTCTTCCCAAACTATTTTACAAGTATACATTACCCACCCTTTATAAGGCAAACAAAAGGGCTTACCAAAAATCCTGAATTTGAGGTTCTTACAATTTAAAACTATTATTTGGGGCAACAATCTGAAGGTCCAGGATGCATGGTGACAAGCAGGATGTGATCCAAAAGTAAAAGGCATCACACACACACACACACACACACACACACACACACACACACACACACACGACATTAAACTGTACTTATAATCCATAACCATTTCTTTCATTTAGTGTCTATCCCTTCCAGCAAGAGCCTGAAGTTCTGCAGTGTCAACCGGAGGTTCTTAACTTCTGATCAATAATTACAATAGTTTCCCTTGAATAAAAAATACTAGCATCATAAGTGAAACCATTATTAGAAGCCCAGAGCTGTAGGTCAGCATCTTTTGAAAGATTCACAGGGAACTCCTTGGAAATCCCCCAATGAAGTGGCACCCTTGTGAAATATCCGGGATACCAAGAAAATCAGAGTAATCTGAAAGTGACCCATAGATTCAACTCAATTTAACTTTTTAGGTTGGGCGGGATCTGGAGATTACATTTTCAGAACTTCTCTCTTGAAACAGCTCAACTCCGAGAAACAAGCAACATATTCAGCCACCCATAGGGGGCAGCCAACATCAGTTGAGAGAGAACAGGCATCAAACAGGACTAGAATTCTGGAGGCAAAGGTGCCAGTCCTAGTTTTGCCTCCACCTAGCTGCCTGACTTGGACAAATCACTTCCCCTCTCTCAGGACCTCAGTTTCTTGCGTCTACCTAAAGGGCTTGGAATCTATTTCTAAGGTACTTTCCAGTGCTAATAAATAATGGTTGCATGACTTCCGTGTCTCTTAAAAATGAAGCACAGCCGCAGAGATGTGCTAAAGCAGACTTTTGGGGGGAACGTGGCGTGTGACTTCCGCGGGTCCTGAAGAGGCCGGGTGGGGAGCAGGGCGAGCCCAGAGCTGCTCACACGCTCCTGGGTCCATCAGCAGGCTAGGCACGGGGGCTCGCCTTTGAGATTTGCATGCGATTTCCGTGCTCTAGGTTGTCCGGGTCGCCTAAGTAGCATGATTAATTTCTACTAAGGGCCTGAAATAACTTTTCCTTCATCTGTACTGACAAGATCTCAGACCCAACAGTCAGAGAACTTTCAAAGGCTGATTTCAGGCTTGATGCACTTGACTCCCCCACCTGCTAGACCTGGTGTGGTTACAAGAGTACGACTATGAATATTACATTCTGTCAAGGAAACAAACCGTGCAAAGAAACGAAAAAGAAAAGAGGTGCTGGGGGTTGGGAAAGAGGGAGGGGAGCGGGAGGAAGTGTCTTGTGGCCGCTACTGTGATTCTAGAAATGGGGTTCAGACTCATTTCGCTGACCTGGTTAATAATCCCTGCCCAGTTGACGCCGGCCTTGCAAGAAACGGCTTCGGGCCCGCAGCCGGGTTTCTCTTCCCCCCCGGAGGCAGGTTCAAGGCTCCCGCCCCTCCAGGCCGCCTCCCCCCTCGGCTACCTGGGAGCCGCAGGGAACCAGAGAGGCCCCGCCCAGCCCCGCCCCGCCCGGCGGGGACGATCGAGAGCTCCCCGCGCGGAGCGTCCACCGAGCCTCCTCCCAGCACCCCTTCCCAGCGCTCCTCCACTTCCTCCCAGTTTCTGCTCGCAGAGAAAATAGGTGACCTTGGCTCTCTACTGTGAAGTCCCCAAAGCGAAGGTGAAACCACTCGAGGAGGAGCAGCACCCTCGCCCCGCTCGGCCAGGCTCAGGGCGAGGCGCAGGGAGCCAGCTCCCCCCCCCCCCCAACCCCAAGTCGCCTCCCTTTTCCTCCGGCGCCCAGCCATGCTTCGGCGCTGCCCCCCCGCCCGGCCAGACAGGGTCCGAGGGTGCTGCTGCTGGGCCCACACCCACTCTCGGTGCAACTTCCCAGTGCAGCGCGGGGACCGGCAATAGCCGGTTCAAAACCAAATAAGCACCAGAAAATCAAACCAGCCGTGGGGAAAGGGGTTGTGTCCGCTTTGCCTTCAGGACCTTTTTGCCAGACCTCCTTGCTAGGGTCCGGCCGGCCACCCCTCCTCCGCCCCGGCGACCTCAGGCGGCGGGAGCACTGTGCGGGGAGGAGCCGGCGCCCTCGGCCGCATCCACGTGTGCGCGCCTCGCCAGGAGCCTCCAGCCCAGGGGAAGAGCCCTCGGGGATTGCGTCCCGGTTGCGCAGCAGCGGCCTGGGGTGCTGCCCGACTCGGTCCCTTTCCGTTGGGTGGCAACGCTGACGGCCGCCGAGCTGGCCCCCGAGCCCGGCCGCTCCTAGTGGGCTCCCGCGCGTCCAGTCCGGGAAGTCCAGGGGCGGGTGGAAGCCCGGGCGCCAGCAACTGACAGTTCGGACCCGTGTGTGCCTCCCTCTCTGTTCCCTGGTCCCCTCCGTCCGGCCAAAATGTAAAGGGACTTCACCCATCCGCCCCAAGCGCGGTGACATGTGCGGCGCCGGCGCGTGTGCAATGTTTGCATTAGAAATAATAACTTTCCCAGAGCATAATGATCAGAACCTTCAAAGCCAGGGCTTAAACCAATTTTGCAAATGTAGAGACTCATTCCCTCCCCGAAAATATTTTTTTTTCCCCCGGCCGCCTGTCAGCTGACGCTCTTCTTAGGCTCCATAAAGAATGAATGAAATTTAAATGAACTACCTGCAGCTACTACACAATCCGGCATTTTCCCTATATCTGCCATATGTTCAGCATTTCCAAGTCCAAACAAATCGTAATGCATCCAGCAATTATGCCGCGACTCCCTCGCCGACAGCCGCGGCATCAAGCCAGGGACCTAGTGGGCTCCCCGGGGCCGGTGGGCACCGCTCATTCCCCCGCAGGAACGTGCTGCTCTTTCTCCCCCAGAGAGAAAGGCAACTTGCAAAACGAGCCGCAGGGAGTGCTTCCCGACGTCCCGACACATTTCCTGCACCGACGCTTCCATTCATCAGTCTTTCCAGCGGCTTCTGCTGCGGAGGCAGAGGTCCCAAGTACCGCAGGATCTGACAGCCCCGCACCGGATCCGGGATGGAATTCCCACCTGCTCTCCGGCAGCCTCGCGCCCGCGCCCCGCGCGCCCCCACCCGCGGCCGCCCTCCCGGGCGCCCCGTTACCTGTGCCGGGGTCTCCGGGCCATGGCTCGGCGGGCGCGGGGCTCCGCCGGGAGCCGCGGGGACCGCAAGGGGCTGCAGCCTCCCGCTGCCCGCCGCCTGCCTGCGTCCCTCCCGGGCTGCGCAGCGGGCGTTCCGCACGGCCGGGCGAAGTTTCTCAGGAGAAAGAGGAGGAGGAGGTCGCGGAGGAGGAGGAGAAGGAGGAGGAGGAAACAGGTTGATATTAAAGTGTAAACTCTGTAAACAGAGATGCCATCAAACAAAGAGCTTTGGACACTCCCCCTCCCGCCAAATCTGGCGCCCCTGCAGTGCGCACGCGCCCTGCCCGCCGCCTCCACGGTCGCCTTGGCTGCCGCCCGCCGGGCAGCGGACCTGGCCCGGCCGCCGCTCCTCTCCGGCTCCCGCGCCGCCGCGCTGCGCCTGGCGCGCCCCGAGGCCCCAGCGGCGCGCGGGCGGGGAGCCCAGGGCCAGGGAGGGGCGGCCGGAGGCTGCGGCGGCGCCTTTTCCTGCGCAAACCCCGCTCCCCGGCCCCGGCCGCGAGGGCCCGCGCCGCGTCGCGCTGCTGCCGCCTCACTGCCGCTCGGTGGCCACGCCAGCGCCTCCCCGCTCGGCACGCTCCGGGCCCCCGAGCCCGAGCTCGCTGGGCTCTGACTCACTGTTGCGGGGGCGGCGATGGGCGCGCAGCGGGGCGGGGCGGGGGGCGCGACGGCCGCATTAGGGATTGGGGTTTAGGCTGGGTTAAAACTTAGATTTCTGGAGATGGGGGCGGACGGGGGCGGGGGGCGGATAGTAGGGATGGGAGCCTATATGTTCATAGGAAGTTTGGCTAGGTCTTTAAAAAAATTTAATTTAACTCGTTAGTGCCAAAGGACACTCATTTCGAGTGGAGCTGGAGCGATCACGGTTCACGTACGGGACACTCCCGCGGAGCTTGGAGTCCCCTCCTAGATCCTGGAGCCCACGCGCCGCCTTCGTGCAGTCACAGGCCCTTCGCTCTCGGCCGGTGCACGCCCGGCCCCGGCGGCGCCCCCTGCACGCCTCCGCCCCGGCCCCACTCGGGGATCGCGCCTGGATTCCACACCTGCAAAATCCACGGGGCTGCAAACAGCCCGCCCCAAGCAGAACTCAAGAAACCCCACGTTTGCACGCGCGGTTTTAAACCTTAAACAATTTGTAATGCGGAGATCGGTATCCATGCTTAGTGTCTTACTAGATAAAAATCGCCCAAAACGTTCGTGTTCATTTAACGAGGGGCTCCCGAAGAAGTGAAGGGAGAAGATAAGTGCTGCATTTATAAGGGTTGGTGATTGGGGGATTTTAGGGGAGTTTTAGTTTTACTTCCGTTTATAGACTTGTACCATTGGGGATTTTTTTTTTTCTTCATTCTCTGTATACACTAATTTATTTTTCCTTTAATCTTATAGGAGTTTGAGACTTCTGCTGACTGGGTTTGTGGGTGTCCCATGTGCCCCGGCAGTTCAAACTTAGCTCAGAAAGCATTTTTCTTACTAAAAAAGCATTTTCTTACTGAAATGAGTCATAATTTTATTAAATGGTGAAGCATGTTAGGTTTCAAGACTTTATCTGGTGTTTTAAACTTTGTTTCGTAAAAATTGAAATACAGTCTAAATTCTTATCAAAAAATGTCAGTTGCTGGTAAGATTAAAACATTCCTTTCTTTGGGAGAAAAACAACACTGAAACAAAATTACTGTGAGATATTTCAGTTCACAATTCTGAAAGACAAGTCACTTGTAAGTTTACATATTTTTAAAGCCAGTATTTATTGCTAGGTTCTTTAACAAAGTTTCTCCACATCAAAAATAAACACATTTAAAAAATATCCAGAACAAACATCTAGAAACCACCCGTAAAGGAATTGTATTCTGTCTTTGGGATTATTTTATGAATCTAACTGGCATGATTCCCAAACACTGAGCCTCTGCTACAATGAGAATATCTGAACCCTTCCCAAAGTGAGTTCATAACCTCTTTCCCAAGTTTCTTAGGAGTTAAAACTGCTCTATGATTCTTAAACTCCTTTTAAGTGGAAAGTTACTAAATTCCGTTATTTCCTTTATGTATCATTTTCCTATGTGTTGTTTTGAGAATTTATACTACTTTCATTCCCCAGACGTTTTGGGGTATCAGTTCACGTTTTTCCTCGTATGTGTGACAAAAATACATTTGGGGACAAGCTTATACATAAAGAGTATACATGCAATGATTCTTACTAGGCTAATTTGGGATATATTGCCACCTGATAAGTATATGGGAGGATAGAATATAATGGAGTTACCATAAATTCTTGTGTATATAAAATATATTTTCAAAAACATTGCAGAATGTTCACAATCATTATATACATTTCCTTTGTCCACTTAAATTACAAACACATTTTAGATGACTTCATATATTTTCCATTACTCTCAATTAAAAAAAAAATCTGCTGAATCAGTTATTTTAGCTGTGGCAGGGGCTAGGATAGTGCTAACTTCAGACTTTTAATTGCAAAGCACTAGGCAGGAGTCAGCAGACTTTTCTAGAAAGGGCCAGATGGTTGTGTTGCGTATTATTTTTCTTTCCTTTTCTTTTCTTTTCTTTTCTTTTCTTTTCTTTTCTTTTCTTTTCTTTTCTTTTCTTTTCTTTTCTTTCTTTTCTCTTCTCTTCTCTTCTCTTCTCTTCTCTTCTCTCTCTCTCTCTCTCTCTCTCTCTCTCTCTCTCTCTCTCTCTCCCCCCCCTCCCCCCCCCTCTCTTCTAACAACACTTTAGAAATGTAAAAATCATTTTGAGCTCAAAGGCTGCATCCAGGCAGCAGGCCTACTTGAAACCAGTGATCCTCAGTCTCCAGTGTGTATCAGAATCACTGGGTGTGGCCATGAAAAATGCACAGTCCCAGGTATTTCCCCTAGAGACAATGATCAGTATGTCTGAGGCAGGGCCCCGGAATCTGCCTTTCAGACAAGTACCCATGTGATTATGGTAGAAGAGGTGTCCAGACCACTGATTGTCAATCTGGCTCAATACATTTGTACCTTTGCCAGTCGTCTCTCACCACCTTCCCCTACTTGATTCTCTGTCACCTCTCCTGGCCTAAGGATTCGGGCTCTCACTAACCCAAATTAACTCAACTCCACGGGAAAGTTGATACCAAGTGATCACAGGGCTGTGTCAGCCTATTCCTTCTTCCTTTACTACGAGACGTCAGCCTCATATCTGAAATTTGGAAGAAAAGGAATCACTTACTGATTGTCATCATGATTCTCCTCAGGAAAGCTAGCACTTAAAGCATTTTA